TTGGTTGTCAAGGAAATCCCTTCTGTGGGCTTTCCTGAACAGAGGTGGTGGTTTTCCTTCTGTTGAAAGACAACATCAGGCTTGGCATCGTTGTAATTTGGGGGAGCGGTGTGTGATAGTGTGCTTTTTATTATGGAGAAGTATTTCCTTTACCCGTCCTGTGTGGATTTTCTAGGAAATGACTTTCTTGGGCTTTCTGGAAGAGAAGTAGTCATTTCTCTTCTGTTGAAGGAAAATATCAGTCTTTGCATCGTCACATTTCAGGGGAGTAGTGCACTACTAAGCACTTTTTCTCTTGTTAGACAAGGTTTTCTCTTTACCTGACTCATGTGATTGTGTCACGGATATCACTTTTATGGGCTTTCCTGGACAGAAAGGATGCTTTCTCTCCCCTTTAAGGTTATTATAATTTCTCTTTGTTTTCCTGTGATCTGATAATGTAAATCCTGACTGTGACCTGTCTGTCAATCAACAGGGGAGATAAAGGAAAGATGTTTTATCTGCATCTTGAAAGTAATGTTGGAGAGGGGGAAATAAAAGGATTTTTGTTTTCAATTTTCCTGAATCATGAAGAAGGTAGTTTATCAAGGCTAACTAAAGCCATGTCTGTGGCAGGTGGTGCAAACTGTAAACATGAAAGGAAGCTTTCCTGCATGGCAACCGATTGTATCTGCCCAGGAAACCAGTGTCTCTCCCCTGCTTGCCCACAAGGCCGTTCTATGCCTATTAGAAGGATGACCCAGGAAGAGACAGGTGGGCTTCGACAGCGCTCCAAGGATTGCTCCCAACTGGTTCAAACAAAGAAATGCAACAAAATAAATTATTTTATTTCTCCTTAAAACAATTAAATTATATTCTTACTACAGTGTAGCACTTTTTTTCTGTACAAAATTAATATTACTGGATATACAATGCTTCAGCATGCCACACAAGACAGGAACTGCACTCACTTTTAAGTCATTAACTGTGGCTTATTAAACCACTGAGAGCCGGTGGACAGACAGCTCACTGGTTTATTAAAGTCTCCAGCTACAGTGGCAGAGGTTGGGGGTTCAATTCCCCACCGTGACTCCTTGACAGGGGCTGGACTCAATGATTCTCTAGTGTTGCTTCTAACTCTGCAGTTCTAAGATTGCTACTATTATACAATCTGAAATGAAAGTTTGTCGTCTTCTTACAAATCCTGTTTTTATGGGGCACATTAACCTGGGACTGGGATGTAACACAAAACTCTCCCACTTCTGGTTTGTTTACCTCCTTGCACCAAGTGAGAGTAAAAATCTGGCCAGCACTCAGCTTGGCCACATCCAGGTTTTCAAAACCATAGGTCATGGCTTCAAGTGATGTAGGAATATCGCTGGTATGTTTATACAGTACCTTGTAACAGCTTTTCGCCTAATCCTCTCCAGGATCCCTTTGAAACAAAGATACATTTGCTGTGGCAGTCCCAAGATCACACTTAATGTTGTAGTGAGGCATAAACTATGATCTTTGTAAAACAGTCTAGTACCGAGACTTATGGCTGGTTTTCTGAGCATATCCATGTTGCTGGGACCCACTGAGGCTCATCTTGGGCTCGGCGCACAGCCGTGAGTAGCTGCATGCAGGCCTCCTGTAAGTTGTCATTCACAATCACGTGATCAAAGAACTGACCAAACTGAGTTTCCATTTTCTTGGCTGACTCTTCCATCTCCTGCAGGTCTTCCTCCTGCGGTAAACGGAGCAACGAATTATTTAAACCATTTCCTGAAATATGCTACTTCTTTGACTGTTGGCGAAGTCAAACAACAGCTTATTGACTGCACTCATAACACGGTAATAAAAGTGCCAAAGTTAGAAGCCAGTTTGAAAAAAAAAAAGCAGTACTCACAAACCTATATACTTTGAGGCATTACCAGCACAGATTAGATATTAATTGTAGATAAACCTGATTTTAAATGCTGTGACTTCAACTCCTCTTTCCACTATCTTGCAAGAAGGACTCATCCAGAGTACACCTGTCTAACGCTCAACGTGGCAACTCTGTTATTTGTGCATGTTCAATAACTGAGCATTACAGAGAGGCGTACATTTTAACGTTCATGTTTGTGGCGTCTCCACATGGGTGCTGTCATGTTGGACACGACATCTAGTGAAACTGTGGCAGCCGAGCATTACAGAGAGGCGTACATGTTAACATTCATGTTTGTGGTGTGCTGTGGGTGCTGTCATGTCGGACACGACATCTAGTGAAACTGTGGCAGCCCTTTATGAGCCACTAAGTTCCTGGAAATCGTCATGGTACTGTGAACTCTCCCACACAGAAGACCGGATGCTCATTAACACCCCAAGTGCTACTCGGCTATAAGCTGAGGGGACAGTCCAGTCCCCCACATTTTGGAAGTCTTTGTTGCTACATTTGAACTGGACCTGTATTCAAGAAGAGGGGAGGGGGGGAGACAATATTGAATATGGACAAGCTATGCTGGAATCAAAAGACTGAAGGTGGGCACAGAAGAGAGCTGTTGCATTGCCTCCGTATTTAAATCGCAAAAGAGACCCAAGGCAGTGATTATTCTAGGACTGGAAAACAATTCACAGAGCTCAGTCCACTCCCAAAATGCAGGCAAGAAGAGAAAAAGAAGCAGCTGCTTTTGAGACATCCCAGAGATGCCATCTGAGTTGAAATTGCTTAATTAAAAAAAAATACCTGTGCACCAAGCAGGAAATTCCAGTTCAGTTCTGAAAACTCAATTATCTTGGTTAGCATAATATTCAAGAAGGCATCTATTATATGGAAATGATCACTTAAAGCTTTTTAACACTTTTTTTCTCATGAGGAAACAAGAAAACATGAAGGGGGTGGCCGAAATCCACACAGATCTGACAGACTTTTTTCCTCTTTTCTGGAATCTCACCTTGAATTTCATGTTGACATAGTAGTCTGTAATCATTCTAGCATTTTTTCGAGACTGCTTCATGCCGCTCATGCTGGAGGGCTTAATAAATATAATGTAGGGCTTCAGTTCATGGGTACGAGCCAACTGAATGCTCTGCAAGACAATACACATAATTAAACATCCTCTTTTTTTTCACTCTATGAGACGTACAATATGTCTTCTGCCCAAATTCATGCTCCTATGGAAAATCAACATACTGTTGATTTAAAACATGTAGCCTGTTATTCAGTTCCCTGTGTACAGGTCCGACAACTCCAACAAAAGCAAATTGATTATCTCCAGAGCTTCCAGTAGTTCAGGAGCCTCTGTGTCAAAAATCATTGTGTTTGATCAACCCAAGGGCAGACACTGCTCATTAACTGTGCTAGATGAACTAATTTTCAAATGGTTTTACATCAAATTTAACTGCTTTGAGAATGTGCAGTCTTTATATGGATATTACTGACCATGAGTCTTGAAGTTACAGTATTTTAAAACCTTCATCCACCTTTTTATGTGATAAGTGTTACCAAGTCACATCCAACTGATGGTGACCCTAACAGGATTTTCAAGGTATATAAGATGCTTAGGGAGGTGGTTCTACCAGGGTCATCCCCTCCCCTTCTGAGCTTCCACCCTCTATCCATCACACCATACTGGCTCTATTTATTCACCTTACTTGAAGAACATTTCAAGAATTTTAAATCAAGGTTACTTTCATGACTCACCTGAGGCTCTAAATCCACAATACAGATCTTCCCAGCATCCAGAACTGCCCGCACTGCATCAATGCTTGTACCGTACAGGTTTCCCTTGTACTCTCCATACTCCAACATTCTACAAATGTAGCAAACAAGGAAAATGGGAGGGCCTTCCTCAAATGAAGCAATGCATTAAAAAAAGGTTACTTAAAAGCCAAGCATTCCAAGAGAGGACATGTATTTAAAAGCATCTTAACTAATGTCAAGAGAAAACTCAATCCATGACTGGGCCTATGGGGGCTGGTGATGCCAGTTCCAGAGTTTCTATGAATCCATCCCAGCTTTTGGTCTGCACTTTATGAGTGCAATGTACGATGCTGAAAACCTATTCCCCAAAGAAGTCCAGCACCTTGGATAGCTCCTCCAAAATTGAAGTCACCGGTCTCCACTGCACTTGGCAGAACGTACTTCTATTTTAGAATCACCAAAAATACCACAGAAGTAGGCCAAAATTCTTTGGAATTCTTCGAGCTGGGCGGCACAAATAGCAAGGATGAGTGGTTGGAACAAGCAGGTTTCTTTTTAAAAGGTCAGTTTTCATAGCCTTGTATTCTGCAAGGGTGACTTAGTCACAAAGTGAGATCTGTAGGCTGAATGAATCTCTGGAAGTGTGGCAGGTATCAGACCTACACCAAGCAACACATTGTGGGATAAAGAAGCAACGACTGATCTCCACTCCCCAAAACAGAAATGTCAGCTGCCGTCAGGGTCTTGCCTCAGGCAAAATGCATAAGACTCAACTAACTGCAGAGCAGAATTCCAGAAATGTAAACGCTGATGGTCTTCTTTAAAATTTCTAAAGCCAATAATTAATTTTAGGTAGTCACTAGGTTAGAAATACCTAAACTGAAGCCAAATTGTGAATATTATCTAACAGGTGGAAGGAGCAGTGCAAAGTCCCTCTTAGGGCTTGTCCAGAGAGGGGGGATTTGGAGCGGTTTGATTTGCACTGTTTTATCTCTCACTCCCATTCACCCTTGATCTCTTGTGAAAAGGGACCACACACATCTTTGGATGGTTAGTTTACTCACATATAAGTTTACCAGGTTACTTGTGAGTAAAGAATCAGCAGCAACAATGGCAGCCCAAGGGGAAAGCACTGGACTGAAGGTTGGGGAGACAGAAAGCAGGTAATCCCCTGTTTTTTCCTGCATTTCCCTTCAGCTGGAGTTGTGCTGCCTTGTAGCCCATGGAGTCAACATAGCCCACTTCCCTGTCTGTCCTCACAACTGTCATTAAGTCGGCTGCAGTGGCTTTTGTTTGTTTGTTTGTTTCCATTCAATCTATTCAATCCATTCCATAAAGTAAATGGTGTATTAAAAGAACAATGCATCAATCTAAGATGGTATTAGGATTGTGCTGCCTTGGGAAAATATTTTTTTTAAAGACAAAAATTGAGAGGAGACTGTCTTTGTCCTCCCTTTTAATGTCACAACCCAGCTAATAGGTCAGAGGGTTGTCAGCTCAGATAAACCCACCCCCAGCTCCATTTGGGTGTGAACTAGCCATCTGCACAGGCTCCACAATGGGGTTACTAGGAGCAAGCTGAATCATATTAAAAAACCACAACAGAAGCCCCTAGCTGTGTATCAGACAGGAGTGGAACAGCTCTTAAAGGGCAGAGGGAAAGGGGTCAATCTTAGTAGAGGCATGTGTGGATGATGCAGTTTGGTTTGCACCACACTGTACCAACAGCGATCCATATACCTGTCTGGACAGCCCCTTGGGTGGTGAAAGAACCCTGAAGTACAGATTCTACCCTGGAGAGCTAAATGCCGAATTTTTCAAAGACATGACTTATACTTTGGGGGTCAAGAAGGATTTGAAAAGAAAAGTGTCCAGCGGTCTGTCCCTTTTATATCATCCAGAGGGTTGGGACCTTTCTCACTTTGCGTTCTTCCTCTGTCTGCCTGTCTCCTTCTTGGTCTGGGATACCAGAGAAGAAAAAATTGAGCTTTCACAATTAGGTTGGAAAATGCAGGTAACCCTAAACAACCTGTGTTTTAAATAATTTTCTGTCAGTCCACACTGGAAATGACCTGGGAGGAAAACGCTTATAGCAGTAAAGCATAGCAAAATATAGTGGAGAGAGGTCAGGGTCATTTCGTTCACTTCCTCTGCCTACTCTCTAATTTAAACACTTGCTTACTCTGTGCCTTTTTTATGTCAAAGGACAAAATGGACAAAATACGTGTTGTGCTTAGTTTTGCCCTCAGTCTCCCTGAGGGGGGGGTCTGCAACCATGTGAATACAAGTGGGGACGCAATTCCCGCACTAAACGTGTATTAAAAGTTCCAGTTTGGGGAAAAAGCAGCTGGGTGGCAATCTGCTGCTATTCCCCAACTTTTAGGATGTCTGAGCCCACTCTTAGGGACCCGCCTACCACTGGCCAACTTTGTCTGAAGGATAACTATTCATATCGGTAGTATTCGGCCAGCACGGTTACCAGTATCAATGAAAGCTTGGGAAGCTATTTTTAAAAAGAATTAATATAATGACATGTTTGAAGCCATCCTATGGCTGCTTAGGGACAGCCTAAGCATGGCATTATGTCTTTTCTTGTGTAAGTTTCCAAGTTATATAACTGATGATTACAATAAAATCATGTTGCAGCAGCTCACAGATGGCAGAGGATCACAAAGGGGTTTAACATGAGAGAGAACGGTTTCACAAGATTTTTTTTTTGCACTATCTTCGTTTTCTTGAAGAGCTTGAAGCAAATAAGGCGTCTGTTTAGGAATCACTGCAATATTTTAAAACACCTATTTCTCTTTGATACTTTCCATATTTACTCTTGTGACAGCCTTGGACAGCCAGGCTCCCAAACGTAAGGATGACATGGTTCTCAATGTGCTCCAAAGGAAATCTGCAGCCCAGCTCCATCAAGTGAGATTTCTTGGTGCTTGATGACGTGATCTTAAAATATACTGAAAGAAATGTAGGGTGACTCTAAGAATTACCTGTGACTGTACACCATATTTTCAAATGTCTCCTTTGGTACATAGTGATATTCTCGGCCATTCACTTCATAGCTCTTTTGAGGACGGGTTGTATCTATTTAAAAGGAATAAGAATGGCAGTGCTATCAAAGACATTTTAATTCCTCTGCAAATCATTAGCAAGGTAAAACCATTAGGAAAAGTCAATGTGTTTAATACCTTACTTGCCTACCTGCTCATGGAATTAGTCTACATGAAAAGCCCTATCCTAAATCCAAAGGTCTTGTGGAGAATCTGTACATGGGCATCATATCATCATCATCATCTTAGAACTGCAGAGCTGGAAGGGATCCTATGGATCATCGAGTCCAGCTCCTCTCAAGGAGGCCCACTGGGAGGAATCGAACTCCCAACCTCTGGCTTCATGCCACTTTGGAGAGGGTCAGAGTGTTTTCTCACAAGCTTTCTAGGGCAGGTACAGGAAGAGAGAGTGCCATAATGCTGGACAGCTCAGTGGTTTAGGTCCCTGGTTCTCTATCTCTCTCTGTTTGTATCACCCTGGAACATCACCTAGAAAGCTTGTGAGAAAACACCCTGATCTCTCCAAAGTGCTTTAGAATATTTCTGATTGAAAGTTAAGTGTGACTTTTCAGGTGGCGGAAGACCTTTATTGACCCAGAGAGAAATAGCACTGAATGTAATTTACTCCTGAGTAACTATGCACTTGACTGCAATCATGTCTGATAAATGTAATGGAAAGAACCTTGTTTGGTTTGCAGATTTGGGTTTTAGGATGGCATTTTTAGCTAGAAGACTAACTTCTTTGTGTATAAATAAAAACAAAGCAGAATGTGAGTCGCAGGAAAGTGACTATGGATTCTC